TTTTCTAATTTGTTGAGATAGTGAATTGGTTGGTTTTTGTTAAATGTGAGCCAAAATCAACACAATTAAAAGAACCAAAGACTTAAACTACTTCAGTCTGTGTGCATTGAATTTATTTAATACACGAGTTTCACAATTTGAGTTGAATTACTGAAATAAATGAACTTTTCCACGACATTCTAATTTATTGAGATGAACCTGTATACAGGAAACTAGGGACTGGACATTGGAGTTATATTAACTAACTAAAATACATATGGCTCACTGGAAATCAAAGAGCTATTTGGTCAGGGGCCTCTTATATTACTTACCTATTCCTTTGACACAGTGCATGACTATATCAAGTTCCTGCCCTGGTCGAAGTTGTGCCAGGAGAATGTCCCCATGCACAGGACCAATCTTGGCATCTGCAAACACATCGGCTTGGTTTCCAATTGGGAGCCATTTTATGTCACCTGAGTAGACTGAAACCAAACACAAGACTTCAGTGACATACTGTAAACAGGACCGTGATAAACAGAATGTTTTGCCATGGTTAGCAAATAATATGCATGTTGTTCCAAACTTGTACTTTTTACTGGGAACACAAAATGAGATGGTAGGCAGTCTAAGCCACCTCACCTTTTAATTTCATTGCATCTTTTTTTCCACACAAGGAAAGTGAATGGTGACTGAAACATTAGCATTCTGCCTTACATCTTCAGTATTGCATGTAGGGCTGCACAAATAATTTAAACGAAACGGATTAAGCTATGAAATCGTTTAGTGTGCTTATCAAACTGCAAAATCTGTGATTTAATAAGACAAAAGTTTTAGAGAGAAGTGCAGCTCTGCATTAATTTACATGCAAGCAGCTCATGATCCAGCATTTTAGTTCTGAGTTTGGGTCACTTATAACATTTGAGAACACAATATGCGGCAACCAACTTCTCAAACCTGTAATGAGAAGTGGTTATAAACAGGTTGTTGTCAACAAATGAGAAGCTTTAAGGGCCCCCTGCGGTTCTAAACATCGAAAAATTAAGAAATTAAGACTTCAATTAAAAAATTGTCATTTTAAGTTAAGCAGTATTATCTAGGGCTGCCCCCTAATAGTCAACTAATCGTTAGTCGACCAAAATGTTATTAGTCACAGAAAATAAATAAATAAATAAAATCCACAGGCGAAGTCACGCAGTTCATGACGGACCGATATCATTCATCGACCTCAAATATGGCTTATCATCTGAAATATGTAAGTATTAACAACATTACATAGCCGCTCAATCTAATGTTTAACCTAGAGAAATGTGCACTATTCAGTGTCTGTGCGGAGTGTGGAAGCTGAACAGTAGTGCTCACTGCAGGACAGATGGAGCGCCAGTGCGCTCAGTTGTTCTTAAAATACTCCCTCATTTTTGCTCATACAGATAAGAGTATTACATCTTTCAAATCTGTAAAGATTCCACTTTTATTTGTGTGCACTCACAATAACAACAAAACGCGTTTTTGTAAAATAATGAAAGCAAACAGGATGCGCTTTCTGCCGTCTCGGTTTCAATGAACTTGAGCGTTATCAGTGAATTATTAAAATGTTAATGCAGTCTCCTTACTGTTTTTCCCTGACACATTCATAATCATTACTTCTGCCGGTGCGCTGTGGCAAGCTTTAAGTGTGTGCTTTAGCGCTTATAAGGCTATGCAGGCAATTAAAGGCTCATTATAATGATTTAAATTGTTTATTAATAAACGTGCGATTAGTCGCCCAATGCTTAAAATGAACGACTACTGGTTGACCAGAAAAATCCTTAATCGAGGGCAGCCCTAGTATTATTTATTATTCATTATTTATTAATAATTATTCTTTTAATTATTTGATAGGCATAAATAGCAAGATTGTTGGCCAAATTGTGCAGCAATACAAAAACCCACAGCAAACCTGGAGCTTTTTTTAAATTGCATTTGACATCACAATCATATTTTAAAACTTTAATGGACCAGAAAAAGTGTGGATAATTGATTAAAAAAAAAGATGATTATAATGGAAACCTAATGGGGGAAAAAAGTTTAATTTTGACATCTAAAAAAGCTTAATTAAAATAAGGTAACCATACTTTACTCACCCATGTGATTGAGATATAACTCCTTGGGATCTGAAGAGTCTTTAGGGGCTCTAGGATTCCTGGTGCATTTTACCTTCAGCTGAAGTTGAATTGTGTCAATTTCGGTGCCTTCCTGATCCTCTGACAAACACAACCCACATTTACATTAGTATGTGAAAAATAATAATAAACAGTCTTTAACAGCTTCAGTCAGTGCTGGCATTTGTGAGACCATTACATAAACTACTTTCCTCAAGACAAATACATTTGTCTGTCGTTTTAAAGTAAAACAAGAATATTGTGAGTCCTGAATGTAATGTTACTTACCTGGATTCCTGTACTCAAAAAGACGAGGATCTGCTTTTATGGGCACAAGACCAAGTCTATGAGCTAGAATCTCATCCTGAATGATCGAGGTGTTATTGTAAATGAAGGCTTTTTCGATGGCCATTGTTGGGACCTTAATTTTCAAATGAGATGAGGACGAAAAACACAAGATGACTATCAGATCCCGTTTCAAAAGCAGCTCATGATGATGGTAATATAACATGTACACAAGCAGACACCACGGACAAAACATCATCAAACATACCTCAGCCAGTAATATACGGCGAAAAGCATTGGCGATGGCAGCGTCTATTCCAATCATATCAAACTCCAACAGGTTCTCATCCGAATGAACTATATCGATCCTGAAATTCTACAAGAATAAAGTTACACCATTTTTTGTCAATCACGTAAAAAAACCCGACTTAGCAGCGACTACATTCATTTTAATAAAAGACAGCTTGTGCATTTCACACACCTTTTTGAATTTTTCCAAATCCCATGTGTCATCGTAACCAGGGTAATTTCCTGGATAATCTGTAGTATGGACCTGTAAATATAGTACATAATACTTACATATGTAGCTTACGGGAATAAATTTTAATAAACAATAATGATTTTATCATATAAAGCTAATAAACAACAATCACTGCAGTTCGTGTACGAAGAAACCTGCACGACATTATTATTAAATAATTGACACTTATATTGGCAATGAAACAGTCTGTATAGACATAAACATACACTGAATACTATATAAATATCCCACAAAGGTCATAACTTACATTTTTTACGCCAAATTCACCCAATATTACTCTATCACGAATTTCATCCACGTTGCTCATAGGCGCCGCCATCTTTGCTGTCATGCCTCTCTTGCGCCGGTAGAGGCTAGAACTCCCATTCAAAAACTCCACTCGAAAATAAATTTCACCATTGTTGTATTAATAATGCTTTATAAATACACATACTAAATATAAGAAAGGCAAAAACTTAACATTAACCTAGATAAAAAAAATAAAAATAGGCAGTTATATAATATAAGTTTCAATGAATGCATTGCTTTGTCGTTATTTAAGCCGTTCAATATTTCTTATCGATAAAACTCTTATAAACTGTTCACAATCCTATATAAGGTATGCGAATATGTCGACTTTGTGGTGTGTATTTTCACCAGAGCCATTAAAACAATGTTTTAGTTTTTTTCCCCAACGTGTTCTATTTTAACTACGATGAAACATATTATATTTATTATTTTTCTAAATATTCTGTGTTGATGCAGTTCAAGAAAACAAATGGCATGTTCAGTTAAAGCTTGTCAAATTATTATTATTATATTTATTATTATTATTATTTATTTTTTACTTAATTGTCATATGTAATGTCAGATGCCCCAGAATATCTAATTCTGTGGCCTGGATGAGTCAAGTAGATGAGCGAACTACTAATATACATATATTTTGTAATACTTTTTGCAGTAATCATTTGTATCTTTATTTATACATTTTTATGTTATATTTTTTTAACCATTTATTTATTCGTTCCTGTGAGGACTTTTATTCTAGCCTCATTAAACTGCGTCACTGGAGTATTGCGCGCTCACCGTGAAGGTGCACAAGTAGATTGAAGTGTTTCTAAACTTGTGTCTGAAATTTACTATTCGCGATTGATCTTGAATGAAGTCATCCAACCACTACAGAGAGAGCAGACAGGCATCCGTAGTTGTTCTCCTGCAGTTGTTTTGAGGGCTTCGCTCTTTGAGTGCGCTATGGACGGAACTGTGGACAGAGTTGTGGAGGAGGGATCCACGCGTGGGTGCTCTCGGACAGACGCTTCCCTCAGCGGAGAGGATGAGCGCCGTGACTCCGACCACAGCCAGAGAACTCACGAAACACATCCTGACGACGAGGTGCAAAACTAAATCAACAAATTAATCCAGTTTTTATTTCTAAACTACTTGAACTTGTAGGCTATACGTTGTTATATCGCATATAATAATTAATCGACTAATAAATATGTTTGTGTATGTTTTATATGTAAATAAAATATACGTATATAAATACTACTTGTACTTATATACTTAAACTTACTCATGTGTAAGTTGCATATGAGCGTTTAAATGAGGTATATGGGTTAATGTGAATAATTATATGAATATGTATGAGAGTATTGTATACACTTATGTTTAAAAACAGATCTTTACACACACATATATATATATGTATGTGTGTGTGTGTGTGTGTGTATATATATTTATGTATATATTTTTTTACTTTAATGTTTAATTACTGTTTGTTTTCTTTAAAGCGCTCCTTGCATCTTAGGGAATTTTATCCCTATATTCGCTGTGCCCTCTGCAATGGATTTTTCATTGATGCCACCACCATCACAGAGTGTCTTCACACTTGTAAGTGCACATTTCCCACCAATGTAGTGGTATAAATTGATTTTGTTTTTTCATATTTTCATGTAATCTGTGATTTGTACAGTGTTTGGCGTCATGCCTGTTTATTTCCCCCTTCACAGTTTGTAAGAGCTGCATTGTCAAGCACTTTTTCTACAGCAACAGGTGTCCTAACTGCTCCATTGTTGTGCACCAGACACAGCCACTGTACAGTATCAGGTAACTTTAGTTTTGTTGATGTCTTTTTTTATTAATGTATTGTTCTTGTCAATTTCAACTTTGGCAAACTTTGCGTATAGGGCGTTGTGTTGTTTACCGGTTTTGGTCTGTCACTAGAGATTTAGTCTAGCTGTTATGTTCGAAACCATCTCTTGTGTCTAATTACTGCTGCCTAGCAATAACAGCCTCACATATGTCCCAGGGTCTTTAGGGTTTCTTATATGCTTTAGTGTTTTAATTACTGATCATGTTTTAACATGAGAGTCAAATTTCTTCCCTTTTTCTCTTTTAGATCTGACAGGCAATTACAAGACATTGTTTTCAAGATGGTTCCATATTTGGAAGAAGGTTCGTGTAGTTTGTTGAACTCTTTCTTGTTGCACTTGTGTTGTCCCATTCTGATTTTTTAAATATATGTGAGAAGCATTTCACAGAAAATATGTTGTTGTTTTTTCTTCTTCAGATGAAAAGTCGCGAATATATGCATTTTATAAACGGAGAGGGCTTGACGTTCCTAAGCCAGGTTTGTTCATGCAATCACTCTCCTGAAGTTTATTCTTTGAATATAAGTGCATTTTAGTACATAGGTGAGGCTTAGTAATATTATTTTAATGTACTTATGATGCAATCTTTTCTCTCTCTTTTTCCCCCCCAGTGGCATCTCCAGCTACATACCCATGGAAGCTACCTCAGAGACAGAAGAAAGACATGCTGCCTCAGTCTGTTTTTACTATTCCCTCAGAGCTAGATGTGTCTCTGATGTTGGAGTTTGTGGGGTCAGTAATGTTGATTTGTTATTATACTTATATCAGTGATGTCATTCAGTTTCTAGAGCTTTCAGCTGACTTTATGTAGACTTTTTTTTTTTTAAAAAGAAGCAAAGACAGGTGTTTTTTTTTTCAATAACACGCCCCACTGAATCTTTCAAATTGACCTGGAACATGCATTAGGAGGTAAATAGGGTAAATTTTGATTTCATGTTGAATTGAATCTTTCTGAACGCTAGATGAGTTATGTTGTGTATCATCACTAGATGGAGCTAAACAGTCAAAAATCAAAAGACTCCTTAAAGCCATGATTTTCAGCCTTTTTGATTGAAAGGCCTCCCATTGTCCACAGCAATATTCAAAGACCCTTCTTATTGGCTAAGATATTTTATCTGATATTTCTGCTGTAAGTCTTATTGTTTTAATTTTTTTATCAATAGAACTGATTGTTTATTCATTGCATTACTTAACAGTGATTCATTTTTTTGTTTTTCAGAATATTCTGTATGGTCTTCAGTAAAAACAATAGTTATTTTTTGTATCTTGATGTTCCCCCTTGATCCCCCTGATTGAGAATCATTTGCCATGTGCTTTTTTTTTGGGTTGAAATCTGATATTGCACAATTATAAATGCCCGCCTATTATTTATAAATTATTCGATTTGTTGTTGCAGAAACACAAAATATGTAATCTGTTAATGTTTCATCTAACCTTTATTTTTACGTATCGTTGATTTACAGAGCTGAAAAGGGTATTGAGAACTATAAGGTAATGTTCATATTTTGTCAGTATTGCAGTATTGATATTTGTATTTTGCTCACACAAAACAATGTATGTACTTTATATTCAGGAAACACATTGCAATATTATTTGTACTTAATATATACACTTGAATCATTGTGTAGAATTGAGCTGAAATTGTACTGTAGGCCTGGCTGTTTTTTCATTTTTAATATCCTGATGATATTTTCACCCTCAAGCCCCTTGAGAGGAAGTATGTGCGTGTGTCAGGGGAAGCCACTGTCCGTCATGTGGAGCTTTTTATCAGGAGGAAGATGGAACTGAGTCAAAACTGCAAGGTGAAATATAGATTTTCTCCCCTTTATCTTTCTCACCCACAGTTTTTGTGTATTGTGAATCATAAACCACATTATGTATAAGGGTAAGGTCTTGGTCTTAAATGGCTTGTTTTCATTAAACCAGACGCATAAATCCTGCCTCAGACGGTCAGCAGTGTCAGAGGTCTGAAAGATATGTGGGGTGAGCACCCCCCAGCTGTGTCAGTCGCTCAATAATTCATACTGACAGGAATCGGACACCACCCTTCACACAGAGCAAAGATATGCTGAGTCATTTGATGCAAAATTGTTTTTTTTTTTCTCTCCTTAGTGGACTAAATTCAGCAAAATCACTCCTTGTCTTTAGGGTTTCCACAATGAGGTTATCATGTAAAAGTGTGATTAAAGAAATGATGTTATTTGGATGTTCCCTTTCCCTCTGAACACTTCAGTGACTCTGTCACACTTCACAGTCCTGCCACGTTGCTGTTTAATTATTTTCCCCCTAATCCCAGTTCTGGATAAGGATTTGAGTCCTTGAAAATAACCACAGCTCAGTCGAGCATAGAAATGACTGTCTGTGGTTGTGAATAACAGTGATTATGTTTGAAAATAAAATCTAGTGCTGTTTTATATATAATATATATTTATTTATTTCTGCAGACTGACACAGACGTCTCCAATTTGAGAGCCATATTTTTAACTGGTAACACTTTTTTTTTTATTTTAGTGTCCTTGTTGCATACTGTATGTTGCATGTACCTACTATAGTAATAAGAGTTAAAGGGGTCATATGATGCTTTTTTAAAGATCATTATTTTGTGTATTTGGTGTAACGGAATATGTTGACATGCTTTACATAATTACAAGTATCTAAACCAAACTCTAACCCTAATCCTAACTCTATAGTAAGTATATGTTGGTAATTAATATTACCCAGTACTTAACTGTATAATTACATTGTAACAAGGACACCTTAAAATAAAGTGTAACATTAAACTTTAAGCCACATACAACAGCTTCACAGAAATATACTTATTTACATTATTTTCATTGCTGATTGTTCATAGTATGTATGCATGTGATTTGGGGCATTTTAAAGATATATTCTGGGTTCAATTCAGGTTAAGCATAATGTTATTTACCACAAATATGAATTTCCATTTGTCCCTCCTTACTTGATTACTGTGAGTCAAAATTTAAAATTTTACAATTTTGTTGCCATGACAGCTCAAAGTTTTATTCAGAATTAATATACTATTATAAAATATACTATAAAGCTTCTCATTTTTGCTTTTTCGTTTGTGAAATGATTAAATCAAATGATTAATCGCATCCAAAATAAAAGTTTTTGTTTACATAATGTGTGTGTACTTTGTATATTTATTATGTATATATAAAAGCACACACATACATTATATATTTTGAAAATATTTACATGTATATATTTATATTATATATAAATATGTATATATAAACAACATATTTTTCTTAAATATATAAATACATGTGTTTGTATTTATATATGCATAATAAATATACACAGTACACACACATATATTATGTGAACAAAAACTTTTATTTTGGATGCGATTAATCGTTTGACAGCACTAGTAATTAACATTAATTGCAGTATTCTGATCTATGGTCACATGCAGCAGTTCTTAGTAAAGGCTGCTTGCATGTTGTAAGGCTAACAGTCGTATCTGGATTACTGGCTTAAGGGTTTTTTCCTGGCGTCCAGGCACTCAGTGTTGATTAGCTAAGACTGATCTGGCCTTGTGAGGAACACCTCATAGTGCCAGGGACATCTACTGGGACAGAGGTGAAAGAGGAGACACCAGGGTTTGTGTGCTTCGCTCCAGGATGGCCCGTTGTGCCCTGCTCCACATACTAGACTCTAAAAATTGTCTAATCAATTTGGGAATACACTGAGGCTGTATTTTATATTCATATGGAGGCTTGAAATGCATTTCCACCTGGCATTTTAGGGTCACTGAGAAAAAGCACTCCTCTAAAAAGTTTGAACCCACTGGAATCCAACATCTTTTATAAGTAATGTTTGCTAAGGCAAGAATCCCTATTTCCATTGCTCATATTACTTCTTTTGTTGTGAAGGTTTTTTCTCAGTATTCAACTTTGGCATTGTGCTATGGTCAGGAATGATACTTCAAAACATGCAGTGTTTTGAGGGAAGGTGTGCTATTACTTTTCTAAAGTGATTAGGCTAAAAGCATTGGCATAGATGATATGACAGATAGAAAAAAACAGACTTGCATCACTTACTTGAACATTTACATTCTGCTTTATTTGGCAGGTTGATGTTGTGTGTGGAGAGCATCTTCTTGAGCAATGCCAGTCTTTGAGAGAAGTTTGTAACACCATGGGAAAAAATGCATTGCAGGTGGGTGTCTGATATAATGTATCTTTCATATTTTTGCTTTTTATGTTATTTTTTTCTTTTTTTTTCTTTTTTATCAAAAAATAAAACAGCTGGAGGCACAAAGAAATGTTTAAAGGGATAGTCCATCCAAAAATGTAAATTCTGTCATCATTTACTCATTGTCATGTATTTCCAAACCTGTATGACTTTATTTCTTCTGTTGAACACAAAAGAAGAGATTTTAAAGAATGTGGGTAACCAAACAGTTTCTGTTCCCCATTGACTTCCATACAATTTTTTTTTATCCTACTTTGAAAGTCAACCAGCAGCTGTTGAAAATATCTTCTTTTATGTTCAACAGAAGAAAAAAAAACTCGTGCAGGTTTGGAACTTGTTGAGAGTGAGTAAATGACAAAATGTTATTTTTGGGGGTGAACTATCCCTTTAAGGGTTGTTCAGTCAGTAGAAGTATCATTGAGAAGTTTTTAGAGAGAATGAGCCTCGTGTAAGCTGTTAATAAGTGTGAAAAACAGGCGCCCTACACAGTTCCTGTCTCACCCTTCACACAGCATTACATTAGAGCCTTACCTGCAGCTTCAAGTGCTGCTGTCTCTCAAAATAGCATTTCACAGTAATAAAAAAACAGTAGTCTAAATGCTGCATTCCTTAATACCCACATTTCTTATTTTCCCTTTTTAGGATGGCATGCTGGTTCTGCATTTCGGACTCGTTCTACCTGCTCAGTAAAGAGGGAAGACACAGAAAGACCAGCTACTGTGAAAACTACATTGTGTAGTGGTTTTATTTCAAGGGCTAAACTGAATTTGATCATAACAGTTCTATGCAGTGATCCTTTGTCTTCCCGGTTACCTTCTGCTCAAACAGATTAAGAATATGTCAGCATTCTTTGAGCAAATGCATTAAGAGACAAAATGTTATTTTTTGGGGTGAACTATCCCTTTAAGGGTTGTTCAGTCAGTAGAAGTATCATTGAGAAGTTTTTAGAGAGAATGAGCCTCGTGTAAGCTGTTAATAAGTGTGAAAAACAGGCGCCCTACACAGTTCCTGTCTCACCCTTCACACAGCATTACATTAGAGCCTTACCTGCAGCTTCAAGTGCTGCTGTCTCTCAAAATAGCATTTCACAGTAATAAAAAAACAGTAGTCTAAATGCTGCATTCCTTAATACCCACATTTCTTATTTTCCCTTTTTAGGATGGCATGCTGGTTCTGCATTTCGGACTCGTTCTACCTGCTCAGTAAAGAGGGAAGACACAGAAAGACCAGCTACTGTGAAAACTACATTGTGTAGTGGTTTTATTTCAAGGGCTAAACTGAATTTGATCATAACAGTTCTATGCAGTGATCCTTTGTCTTCCCGGTTACCTTCTGCTCAAACAGATTAAGAATATGTCAGCATTCTTTGAGCAAATGCATTAAGAGACATTAGAGCTACATCCAAAACATTAGCCATTTCCAGAAGATACTGTTTGTTTGTTTGTTTGTTTGTTTGTTTGTTTGGTTGGTTGGTTGGTTGGTTGGTTGGTTGGTTGATTTTTGGTTACAATTTCCACAACTGTAAAGGTTCTGTAAATTCTCTTTTATGTTTACTAAGAAAAGCACAAAGTAATTACACCTTGTTTCTGAGAATATATTGTTTTAACATGAATTTTATTGCTTAGTTTTGTTGTGCCTCTAGTTCAGCTGACAAAAAGTAAATCAGTACTTTGAAAGAAATAATTCACTTAAGTACCTGGACAGTACCTACATTTTTAAGTGTTAAAAACTCTTAACTCTTGCAAGGCGTTTAAGTGTTTGTGTCTTTGTTCATTTTAGATTTAAATTGTTATGTATTTGTTGAGCCATATTGTGTTATTTCAGGGCCTTTGGGATATATATATATATATATATGTATATGTATATATATATATATATATATATATATAACTTTTGCAATATTGTAACTGAAGTGTTCTTCATTTTTAAAACAGCTTTACAACTAAATGTTAAACTGTGCATGGCCAGACACATATAAACACTATGCAAATATTGTGTCCCTTTTCATTTAGTCATCTTTTTAGTTTTGGGAAATATTTTATGACCCACTCTGATTTTGTGTTTGTGTGCTGCTGATTTCAAATTAAGACACTGTCTTATTATTTACACAAAAAAATATTAGATTAGCCTAAATGTTAGGAAGCATCTTTCACCTCATGTAATGTTAGTCACCTGTATGGTTAAAGCCATTATCACAAACAACTCGAGAGTCTGAGGCTCAGTGTAAGAGAGAGAGGAAGGATAGAGAGATGCTTCTCACTAACCAGCGGGGACTGTTGAAATTGGTTTCCAAGGAAACCGCCTCAAACACCCTGCATGATTTCATGCCTGCATGCTACATCACATTAAGGTTCAGATATTGTTTATGACAGTGTAGGATTGCAGGTACAAGCTTGTTTAAATCTAAGCCTAGCTAGTTTGCGTTCAGTTGATGTTGCTTTTTAAGATTTTACTAGTGAGGATATAATATTAACCACTGATGTGTCTAATTTAATGTATCTATGGCTCTTTTTACCTTATTCATGATTTTTTTTTATTAGATCCAGTGCTGTCTTGGTGATTATAAAGGGAATTTACTGACCTTTTTCTAACAAGACAGTGACTCTTGAAAGGGCATCTGCCATATTTTTCAGTGATTGACAGTCTTTCGGAACAACACAAAGCAGAAGCAATGTGACTGAGTGGAGGGGAGGATATAATCAATTATATCTTTAAATTCTCCCTCTATTTTTTGTGGAGAAAGAAGGAATCCATTAGCCTTTAGATAGGAGGTAATCTTTCTGACACGGAACAGGGTAATGCAATTTAGAGAATTACATAAACACATTTTTAAGAGTTTGGGGCCAGTAAGATTTTTCTGTAATTTTTTTTTCAACAGATATATTTACATTTCAAATAAATGCTGTTCCACAGATTCCACAAAAATGTAAGGCAGCACAGCTGTTTTCAATATGAATAGTAATAATAATAAATGTACTTTAGCACCACATCAGATTAGAATGATTTCTGAAGGATCATGTGACACTGAAGACTTAGCATTGTCATCACAGGAATAAATTTCACTTTCAAAT